AGAGAGAGAGAGAGAGAGAGAGAGAGAGAGAGAGAGAGAGAGAGAGAGAGAGAGAAAGATCTGATGCGTCAGTGTTGCTCGTCTGTGTTCTATTTTCCTTTCTGTCTGTTGGTAGCAGTGTGTGTTCGACTGTTTTGTGTGCACTGCTTTGTAAGGAGGGTATGGTGGGTATTTCTTTTCTTCTTCTTCTTCTCATTGTTTTGTGCAAAGCAGGTTTGTTTTAGTATATTCTCTGTGGGAGTGCTGGACGTTGTGGATCTGCTGCGGGTGACGATTGCCGTGGGGATTGCACTGTCTGTGTGTTGCGGTTTTGCCTGTGGCATGATTTGGTGTAAACAGGGTTTGAACAGGGGTCCCTGTTGGTCCTTGTTTTTGTTGTTGTTTTTTGGACAGGACCTGTTGCTTGTTGTATTTTTCAGACAGGGCCATATGGGGTTTCCCTGTTGCTGATCTTGTTGCAGATATGAAATGTTTTGTCTGGGTGGTCTGATTCCTGAAGAGAGTGCTCTCTCTGTCTATAAGGTGTTGTGCCCATTTTTACTGTCTTCTAGCTATTTGCCCCTCTATGCCTTGTGACTTTGTGTGATTGGAGTCACTTGTCAGTGGGTCTGCTGGCGGCTTTCCACTTTGTTTTTATTTTATCTGGTGGGTTTGTGGACATTGAGGATTGCCCCATTTCTCTGCCGGTGGTACTGCTGCCGTGGTGCTGGTTGTGGTTGGTGGTTGCGGCTGTGTGTTGGTCGTGGGTGTGAGGCTGTTAGGTGATTCTTGCAGGCAGCTTTCGACACATGCATCAGGGGCATTTTCGTGCACAATGAACTTGCGAGATGGATCATTGTCGCTTACGAACTCCGTTCAACGGCAACTTACCACACATACGACTGGCTCGGTATTCTCACTTGAGCGCCGCCTATCCCTCTTCCGTCCCTCTTGCTGTCTACCTGTCTGTATCTCTCCTTCAATCTGTCCCTTTCTCTCTTGTCTACCTCCTTACTTCTCTCACCTCCCGTTCTTCTCTCCTCTCTGCTCCTTTTCTACTCTGCCTTCCCTTCCCTCTCTCCTCCCTCTCTCCCTCCCTCCTGCCCTCCATCCAACCTTTCTCCCCTCCCCGGCTTCCTTTCATGGAGTTGCTATGGCAAGAATTGTGGATATCATTCCCTATTGGTCGGCTTTTTAGACTTCGGAGGATCTCGATTAAGGAAAATGGTGTGAGGTGGACCACCGAGGTCACTGAGCTTTTCAGTGAATTCAGTGATCAGTTTCAGTTAAAGAGTGTCGGTTGTGCAGAAGGCAAAAAAAAAAAAGTGAGCTGACACCAATTCGAATGATGATCTTTTTCTCACGCGGATGCACAAAATACCACCTCTCTTCTGTCCTCATGTTGGGTCTGTGGGCCTTTGGAGCTGTTCCTGTCATGTGAAACCTGCTGAGCCGCTGAGCCCTTGTCGAAAAAAGGATTCCCTTGTCAACTGCTTTCTGCAAGCACATAGTCTATGGCTGTCTCTTATACACATCTAGATGTGTATAAGAGACAGTACATACACACACACACACACACTCACACACACATACACACACACGGAAAAAAAAAAAGAAAAAAAAAAGAAAAAAGAAAAAAATAATTAAAAAAAATCACTCTCTGCACTTATACCCATTTCCTTATCCACACGAACCCCAACCTTTGTCTAACCTTCCAAAATAAAACACTTAGTACCTTTTAAATTGTTATCTAACCAAAGTCGGGGTAAAAAAAAATAAACAATTCAACCCACATGGGCTAAAACCTTTAGGTTGAGTAGCGATAATGAGTTAACGTTGAGTCGTAAACCGACAAATCGACAACCTACCTATTCTCAAAACGTAAAAGAAGACGATCCTCGTAAGATCAGGTTAAAACTAATCAGATCTTGAATCGAAATGGTCGAAAGAGGATCTGCAATACAACACAGACCAATTCCCCAAACTAATCTATAAGTGTATGGAGAATAAACCCCCATGTTACACCTCACTCAACCTTCTCGTAACCTAAATTCATCTCTAAATGAGTACTCGAGAAATGAGAAAAATTTCGGCAGCATCTTCCCTATGCAGGGTGGATCGCCAAAACTTTTGCTACCAAAATATAATCTAACTTTTCGAAACTAAGAAAATTTCAGAAGCACTCCCTCTAGAAAAAGTGTCTTGCCATAATTTACTTGGCCGGATGTGAAATATGAAAACGGTTTTTAATTTTACAAGTCAAATTTTGTCTAACTCTTTGAATTAGTAAAAATTTGGGTAGCATCTCCTTTAGAGAGGTAGGTTTCCCAGATTTATGCCAAGTTAGATATGAACTCGAGGGGCCGTTGGTGGGGGCCCAGCTAACACAAGGACCGAGCATTTGCCAGTAACCGTGCCTCCCTTTTCATCTTCTTGCACCCCATGGAGTAACAACAGTGTCTAAAGCCAACACTCTCCTGCACAACACATGCAACTTACTCAAACTTGCACTCACACCCGCGTTGGCTGAAGACCCTAACTAATACGGACCAGGAGGATCTAGCTGACTATCTCAGTTGGTTGGCACCTACCGTACCGCAGGTTGCTATTGGGATAAAACCCATGACCTCCTGAATACCACTTGCATGCGTAACAAATTGAGCTAGGCCGCTGGATTGCTCCCCATGAATAGATTGGAGCTTCTTTGAAAAAAAAAAACAAAAAACTTCACCACCTTGCAAGCAAGTCCCCTGTAGGACCCTCTGAAAGTGGGAATAAGCCTTTCAGCGAGTCCTACCAGAAACAGTTTTCGCTGGAGGAATGGGGGGAAACAGAAGACTACTTAGGACCTATTAGAATCTGGGTCCAATTCCCCTTGCAATAGCAATCGCACCACAAGTACTTGGCCCAGACGCAACTCCGGCTACTCTGAAGTTCCACCTGCCAAATCTCATACCTTGTAGGTGAGCCCTGAGGCTGGCTGTTACCACAATGGCATGTCTGATCAATCAAACATCTACAATGTTCAGGGACATGGACCCGCTTTCCAGCAGGTGCTGGTCCCCACCAATAGACGGAGCATGGTGCCTGCTCTTACCAGCACCCCTACCATCCACTTGGGTTGTTCTCTGAAAAAAAAAACAAAGAGTTTTCTTTGTGAAGGGGCTGTTTCCACTATGACAACACACCTTGGAGGGGGAGGGGGAAGGGAGAAAAAACAAGATAGATAGATAGATAGATAGATAGATAGATAGATAGATAGATATAGAGAGAGGGGAGGGGCCAATATGACCCTTCAGAGAGAGAGAGAGAGAGGGGAGGGGCTGTTTCCAATATGACCCGCTGAAGGGCTTATTCCAAAATTTCGCAGGGGAAGGGCTTATTCCAAATTTCGCAGGGGACGGGCTTATTCCAAAATTTCGCAGGGGCCTACCGGGGACTTGTTTGAGGAATGACATCCGGAACGGGTTCTGAAGGGTCGTTTTCTGTAGGCTTTCTTTACAATTCCGGCAAAACAGAGGGGCTTATTCATAATGTTCTGTTTCTTGTTGAGAGCGTGTTGGCCCCTATGAACATCATTGTATCCTCCCTGGATTTGAACTCTTGACAAGTTTTCCAAGCAGTCACATGCTTCTCAATATGTTTGTCAACATTCACATATGAGTTACATATGTGTGTATCACTCGACCACAGAGCAGGTACAGCTTGTGAGATCTGATCACGCCCCTGCATTAGACAGATTCCATTCCATCATTCCATCATTCCATGTTGCTGAGGATTGACGTGTGACGTGGGTACAGCTGGCGGCCGATCCCGGCGGCGCCGCCTCCGCTGCCGGAGGTGGTGTAGCTGGTGTTGTGAACGGGGAGAGAGAGAGAGAGAGAGAGAGAGAGAGAGAGAGAGAGAGAGAGAGAGAGAGAGAGAGAGAGAGAGAGAGAGAGGTGGACCAGGTCTGTGTTTTTGGGAAGCTGCCTGACTACCTGAGGCGGGAAGACAGCTATGGCGACGTCAGCAGGTGCTGCCAACGCAGCAAGTCCGGATACCGATCTGTACGGACTTCTACACGTGTCCCGCGATGCGACGGACGAGGAAATCCGGAAGGCTTACCGAAGCATTGCTCAGATATATCATCCGGACAAGTACCAGAGCCCTCAGGTGGGTAAGAAGAAGGCGATGGTGCCTCTCGCTATGCCGGTTCCTCACCCCCCTCTAGTCTACTACCCTCTCGGCCCCCTCACCCACTTTCTCCCTTCACGGTCGCGTCAGCCTTCTATGCCCTACTCTGCCGCTCTGATCCCCCTCCTTGTGCACCCTCTTCTTTCCACATCTCTCTCTCTCTCTCTCTCTCTCGCCCCCTCTCTCTCTCTCTCTCGTCACCTCCACTTCCCTGTCTCCACTGTCGCTTAAGCCATCTCTGCGCTGCTTTTTTTACTCTCTCACTCGTCGTACACTCTCTTCTTTTCGCCTCTCTGTCTCTCTCTCTCTCTCGTTCTCTCGTTCTCTCCCCCGCCCCCTCTCTCTCATTCTATCACCTCGCTCTGTCATTTTATCCTCGCGCTCTTTTTCTCATCTCTCGTCCCTTTTCTTTTCTGCCCTCTAGGTTAATTACATTATTACACATCAGCAAAATAAAATATAATAAAATAAAATCACAGATCAGCACTGTGAGCGTCGTGCTCGCGGCGCGCCTTACCCTATCCCCCCCCCCCCACCCCACACCCCACACCGTATTTCTCCTCCGGATGTTACTTGCGGCTCTGCTGTCCCTCTTTCCCTACTCGGCCTGTGGAAATCGCCTTCTCATCAATCCTACCACGTCACCTCCCTCACACACTAATTAGTTCTGCAGTGATTAGTTATCTGCCCCTTTGATTAGTCCTCCTCCTCCTCCTCCTCCTCTCGTTCCTCACACACAACCAAGCCTAGCTGAGCCGAATACGTGCCGCTGCTGCTGCTGCTGCTGCTGCTTTGCACTTCGACTCTGTCCAGCGATTCTTTCTGATTGTCAGACAAACATTCATCCACTCATTTATTTACCTGAAGCATTTTTTTTTTTCCCTTTCGGAATTATGTCATTTTTGTGTGGAATTAAAGCGCTACAAAAATATATATCATTTTTGTGTGGAATTAAAGCGCTACAAAAAGTTATATCATTTTTGTGTGGAATTAAAGCGCTACAAAAAATTATATCATTATTGTGTGGAATTAAAGCGCTACAAAAAATTATACCGTCCGTTTTTTTTACTCGTACAGTAATTGTCTGCTTTTCTTCCTCTTAAAAAGAAGAAGAAGAAGAAGAAGAAGAAGAAGAAGAAGAAATCCATCATGAATCGCACGATATCCTTCACCCATCCCCCCCCCCCCCCCTCTTTCTTTTTGGCTTTGCTGTAGACTGGAACTGAAAGGGACATGCGGACTGATTTTTTTTGTGTAAAAGAAAAACATTGTACACATAATGAGCGGAATTTTTGTTTTTTTATAACACACAACAAGGGCAGAGCACGTGGCTGAATGTAGTGTTTTCCCGAATAGAACGCAGGGATCCGGTCATTACCGCTGTGCATCTGGAGGGAAGTTGTCCCGCGTTTAGCTATATCATGACCGGGCGTTCTATTCGGGGGGAAAGACAACAGTTAACCTACATCGCTGTCCCAATACATTAATAATTAATAATAATAATAATAATCATCTTTTATTTTGAATAGTGAAATAATATTAAAATAATAAATTAATCATCATCATCTTTTAATTAAAATCGTGAAATAATATTAGAAATTAGAATAATAAAATAACGAGACTATAGAGAATGAATGACGTACATATGCTGTCTGACGAACGGGATTTAATGATAATAAAATAATAATAATAATAATAATAATAATAATAATAAAAAAAAAATAATAATAATAATAATAATGAATGAACGACGTACATATGCTATCTATAATAATAATAATAATAATGATAATAATAATAATAATAATAATAATAAAATAATAATAATAATAATAGATTAATAATAATAAAATATAATAATAATAATAATAATAATAATAATGAATGAACGACGTACATATGCTATCTGACGTGGCTTTACTTTTTTCTTAAAAAAGTATTGTTATTAGGATAATAATAATACGATATCCGGCAATCAATCATTTCAACCTTGTGAATGATGGCCGTAACCTTGTGGAGATAGTGATGAAGCGACAGTGCGGAGGGGGGGAATTGACAGATTAAACGAAGTGGATAAATTTTTGAAAACGTTTGGGCAAACATAGAAAAGAACTTAGTCGAAAAAAACAAAACGTCCTTCGGGACATCCGTTAAAAGGATTGGAACGATACAGAGAGAAAGAAGATTAGCATGGCCCCTGCGCAAGGATGAAACGCATAATTCGAGATTAAAAAAACAAAACAAAACAAAACAAAACAAAACAAAACAAAACAAAACAAGACAAGTTGTGTATGTAGGCAGACATTAAGAAAGAAAAC